GGGGGGGGGGGGGGGGGGTACGGATACAATGGCCCGGGCGATAATAATGCGTAAATCCGCGCGGGCCGTCCACGACATTAAACAGGCCCGGGCGGCTTGAAGAGGCCGAGGGGCAGGTAGGTAATTTTATTCAAATGCAAAGGGGGGCCGATACAGTGGCATGCGGGCGGACGTCAAGGAATCACACTTGCGGAGGATAGGATGGAGCCGACCCATGACACGGCATGCGGGCAATTGTCGCCGCGGCGACACTGGACCAAATCGCAAAGCTGAGACGCTGGGCGAGGCGGGTTTTGGCGATACCAAAGCTGCAGCCTGAGCGGAGGGCAATTTGGTGCGCAACGTGTTCAAGGACAGCAGTAGTACGGGTGCTCCAAGCGCCCAGGGTATCGAAGGCAAGGGGGACGAAATGCCAGTCTAGGGGAGGAAGTGGGTCGTCAGCCTGAAGGTGTAAGGCAGCGCGTAGAATGCGGTCATGGGTGCGGAGTTTTCTTGTATGGGCTCCTTCAGCGGCGCCGGCAATAGACCGAGCAGCTGAGTTCATGTTAGCAGCGGTGTAGGGATTACAAATCGTGACATCGTATGCTGTAGGGCGGTCTGGGAGGGCGCCAGCCGCTGGAGGGGACGGTTGGACAAGAATGTCAGCAGGGCGGTGCGCCGTGCCTGGTATGAGAAATGGAACTTCGCGGTCGCACGCGAGGCCGGCTGCCCGAAACGCTTGGCGGGCCAGAGTATTGCGGACAATGTTATGGCGGTGGGTGGCACCATACCCGTGTTTGCAGTTGGCGGCGTGGTCGCCACGTTTGTCCATCGCGCGGCCACAGTGAGAGCATTGTAGGGGGGCCCGTGAATCGTCGTACACAGGCGTGTCGAGGTGTCGCCGAAGCATAACAGACCACACGGCACTTGAAACTCGCGAGGTCAGAGATGGGTGAGCGCAGAGGAAGGAGGCCGCACCAGGAGTAATTAGAGAGTTGTAGCGGGCGCGACGGCGTACAGAGGCTGCCGTATGATCGGTTGGGTTAGGCTGTCGATCCCACTCTCTCGTTTCCCAATACATGCGCGAAAAGGCTCCATGGAGCGCCTGATATAATGTAAAATGTACTCTTTCAGGTCGTTCCAATAAAGCCTGCGGTTGGAAGGGACCCAGATTAGAATGCGTAGCGAGGATCCCTCGGGTTTCGACCTCGGGGTTCAAGGAGCGCAGTACATGCACTAGATGCTTCCGTGCCATTCCGCAGTAGAATGGCACTGTAGGGTTCGAAGGTCCGCGAATGCGTGCTTTTGCGGATTCAATTAAACTTGCAGCGTGAGATGCGTGCACAAACGGGGCCAGTGGCGTGAAACCATGACCACCCAAACGGAAGGGGAGGCCAATCTGGGAAGATATGGACGGAGAAAGCGTGACATGATTGAACCGGGAGTAGGCGGATTTTTGACTTTGATCAAACCGAATTGCGCTTGGGAGCGAAATGCGAGGTGGTGTTAGGCGGAACACATGCTCGACGCGGCACACGGATCCTGATACTCGATGCAAATGGAAACGTATACGGGCATCAGGAATGCTGTCGAGCAATGTGAGGGAGTTTGACACTGCCTCAATTTTTTCCTCCAAGAATGACCTCATGAATTCATCTGTGCCTAACGGGGCGCCCAGAAGAGCAATTCCACCTTCTTGTGAGACGTGTAAGGGGAACGACATGGTGAGGGATTCGAGAAGTGACGGCTCAGTTGTGGGCCAGAAAGCGCGACATTTAGAAATGTTCATGCGGAATCCCATGCTGGGGCCAAATGTGTGAAGAATGCGGAGTGCTTTTGTAACCTCCGGGATAGTGCCAATTAGTGTACCGTCATCGGCGTACCAGCGGTTGAGCAGGAGGCTGCATTCGTGGGTGATGCGGCGGACAAGTGGTTGGAGCGCTAGAGAGAAAAGGAGCATTCCAGCAGGGTCGCCCTGTTGGGTTCCTTCACAACTTTTAAGAATGACCCGTGGGGAAGACGGTAGCACGAGGTCGGGAACAGTGCGGCCATAGATGAGGTTGATGAAGTGAGCAAGGCTAGGCGTTTCCAGAGTGAGACGGTTGAGCATAGACTGACGGCTAAAGCTGTTGAACGCGTTTTGTGCGTCAACAGAGACGAGCACGTAGTTGGGGTTGCGACCGTGTCGCGCCAGGAGCATACGACAATCATGGACAATGGCGTCCATTACCGATGGGACGCCATTGGCGAGCTGTTCCGGGGCCAGGCGATCGCGGGTATCATCAATTGCGGCGGGGAGAAGGACCTTTGTTACGAGGCGGCGAAGTGCCTGCCCCACGGCAATGGGGCGGAGCTTCCCAGGGCGCGGCTGGAGGGGGATCAGGGTTGACGCAGCCAGGAGGGGGGCTGTGCTATCCGGGATATCGCCTCGGGCGAGTCGCTGCACCAGGCGGGTGAGGGCCGAAAGACCAGTAACACCGGCCTCGGGAGTGACGGTCGTGCGAGCGAGCAGCTGCAGCAGGCGGGGCGAGAGGCGATCTAGCCCGGCTGCGGACATGGGATTGAGAGATCGAGCAGCACGTAGTACTTGGCCTTCGGTGATGTCTGGAGTCGGAGGGAGGTCGGTTCGGGAGAGTGCTTGTGTGGGCACAGCGGGTGTAGGATGAAGGGCGATTAGGGAAGTGTGCGTGGTCTCTTCTTGGAGGTCGGGGAGCGGTTTGTCTGTCAATGCGCGCATTGCTCGTCCATATTGGGCGTCGGCGGCCATGCCCATGGCGCGGCTGATGCGGCGACGGGCGGGGTCAGAGCGCTGGCGCTGTCTGCTGTGTCTTACGTCCCAGTCCAGCTCAGCTTGTCGAGCGGCGAGGGCCTCGTGCCACAACTGGGGCCAGTAGAGGCCGGAAGTCGCTCGGCGAATGCGATCTCGAAGGGCGAGGTGCTGCCCTTTCCTTGTTCGCCAGCCCTGCTCGCCACGGAACGAGCGGCGGAGGACGGCCGTGGGAAGTATGTGCAGGCGAAGGAAGGCGCGGTGTGTCTCTTGAGGGTCGGTGGTGGCGGCGGCAGCCCGGACGAGCTTGATGAGAAGGAGTGTCAGGCTGTGGAGGCAGGGGGCGGGGATTGCGGAGTAGATGTGGGACGAGCGTAGAGGGCAGAGGAGGAGTTCCTGGACAGTAGGAAGGGGCAAGGTGGGGCGAGGAGGCGCAGGCTGAGGCGGCGTAGCGGAGGGTGAGGGGCTCACCAGCAGGGAATTGGTTGATGGGCTCACTGTGGCGGGATTTGGATGCCGTCGACGTCGGCATGCGCTGGGTCAGAATTACCGCGAGGGCGGTGAGGTGGGGGATGCTCGGCGGAGAAGGAGAGCGGCCGCTTGCGGAGGAGAGTGGGTTGCGATAAAGTGGCAGAGAAGGCGATGGGTGTCTGGGAGGCTGTGGGGCGGCTTGGGGTAGCAGCGGGCTTGTGCGGAGGACTTGTCATAGTGGCAGGTGAGGAGGGTCGCTGGGCGGAGGGGGGCGGGACAGGGGCCGGAGCAGGAAGAGTGGGAGCCACGGTGGGGACTGTGGGAGCAGACTTCACAAACGGCGGAAACGGGGGCCGGCCGGCATGAGGACTGGCAGATGCCGTGGGTGGAGCGCAAGGCGACGTGAGCGCCGGGGCCCGAGTAGAGGCGACCGTAGTGGCTGCCACGGTGGCTTGGGGGGAGTCAATAGAAGCAGCGGGAGCGGGGGCAGTCGGCGGTGAAATAGGGGCGGGGACCGGCAGCGGTGAGGTAGGGCCGGGGACCGGCAGCTGAGAGGCAGGGGCGCCCACCGGGCGGGAGGGAAGAGCGCGAGCCACACGAGTAGAATGGCCGGGTGGAGCGAGGCGGGTCGGCGGAGTAGGGAGGATGGCGCTTGCATGCGCCTGTAGGGTGACAGCCAGAGCTCGGCGGACTGGGAGGGGAACGGAGGTGGTAGTGCGGCGGTTGAGGAGGCGAAGTGCCTCGCGACGTAGGCGGCATGAAACACCGGCTGCGGCGGAAGAGTCAAGAGCGGAAGCGGTGAGAGGTAGGGGAGCATTGTTGACGGAGAGGTCTTCGTAGACTAGGCAGAGGTGGGCGAGGATGCGGGCGAGAAGTGTAGTGTGAGAAGCTGGGAAGTAGACGTATGTCCACCGGCCAACGCCGGGGATAATGACGTGGGGAGGGAGAACGGCGTCAGCGAGGTGAGCGCCATGGCGTAAGGCAGACTGCGCAGCATTAAAGGAGGTGAAGGCTGCGAGGCTGGCATCCGGAGCGATGGCGTAGGCGGTGACGGCGGGAGGGGGAGCAACAGGCTCTCCGGTGCGAGGGTCGAGACGAAGCGGTGCGCCCACGCTGCGGACGAGGGAGTGGGCCGCCGCGAGCGTCGCACTCGAGACTGAAGTAGGTGCGGCAACTGCCGCACGTGCGGCCGCGAGAGTCAGGATAGAAGAATCGGGGCGGTTTTGGACACGTGGCAGTTGGAGGGGGCGAGACACGACAAAGGGAGAAGTGGAGGGTGAGGTGGAGGT